AACATCATGATCAGAAATATGAGATTCAGGACTTACCAGTGGTTCAGACGATTGAGGTTGCTGCTGAGACAATGTGAGCTGTTTCCTTCTTTCAGGTGTCATAATATTCCGTATCTCTGGTGTACTTGTATCAATCACAGGAGAATCAGTCACAGGAGGATTACTCACAGGAGGATCAGACACAAGAGGATCAGACACAGGTAGAGGTGGCAATTTGGGTTGACCCGCCCCGCCCCGCCACCAACCCACCAAAAACGGGGCGGGGCGGGTTGACCCGCTAAAAAATATGGGTTAGAAAAATGAACCCACCCCGTTTTACGGTGGGTTGGCGGGTCAACCCACCAACCCGCCAATTAAAAAAAATTATTTAAAATTCAAAAGTAAATTGTATTTTATGAATTTTTCTAATATTATTTTATTTTATTTCACACTTCTCTATATTTTTTTAGTCTCAATCTTAAATGTATACTAATATTTGTCAAATATTCTTTAGGAATTTATATATAGATAACATTTGTCATAAATAAAATTGTTATTCTTTATTTTTTCTAGGAAGAACTAAGAGTAAAAAAAAAATTAGATATCACAAAAATTTAAGGATTAATGAAATACTATCAAATTGTAAAATATATATATATATTATAACCCGACGGGTCAACCCGCCCCACGACGAGTTGAACCCGTTTTGACCCACTTTCAGGTGGGGCGGGTTGAGGTGGGTTGAAAACCTCAACCCAACCCGCCCGTTTTGGCGGGTTAGCGGGTTGACTCGCCGGGCTCAACCCATATTGTCACCCCTAGACACAGGAGGAACAAACACATGAGGAACAGGACCAAGAGGAGGATACACTGACATAGGTAAAGGAGTAGACACTGAAGATTCAAACTCAAAGAAGGGAGGTGATGAGATTTCTGGTGAAGGATTCTCCCCCTGAAGATGAGGACCTTGGAAAAAGGACTCAGATTCCTGAAATGTAACATCCATAGAAACAAAAATTTTCCTACTACTAAGGTGATAGCACTTGTAGCCCTTCTTATCAGGAACATAACCAAGAAAAACACATTTAATAGCCCTAGGGTCCAACTTACTGCGATGATGTTTATGAACATGAACAAAAGCAACACACCCAAACACTCGTGGAGGAAGACTCATCATAGCTGGAATAGAAGGGAAAAAAGAAGTCATAGAGTGAACAAGACTTACATGGTCAAGTACCCGAGTGGGTAAACGATTGATCAAGAATGCTGCAGTAAGAAAAGCATCTCCCCAATAGTATTTGGGTACATATGTCTGAAACATTAATGCACGAGCCACTTCAAGAAGGTGACGATTTTTTCTTTCAAGCAACCCCATTCTGTTGGGGGGTGTCAACACAAGTAAGTTCATGAATCATACCGTTATTTCTTATAAATTGGGAAAAACTGTGATTAACATATTCAGTACCATTATCTGTTCTTAGTCTCTTGATTTTTTTACCAATCTGGGTCTCAATCATTTTATAAAATTGAAAGAACAGTTGTGGTACCTCAGACTTTTCACGCATTAAGTACATCCAAGTTACACGAGTGCAATCATCAATAAAAGAAACAAACCATCTATTTCCATAAGCATGAGGGACTTTAGAGGGACCCCAAACATTAGAATGAATAAGATCAAAAGGTTCAACACTCTTAGTAATACTAGAAGGAAAAGACACACGATGATGCTTAGCAAATTCACAAACATCACAATGAAAAGACTCAACAGACTTAGACAAAAACAATGACGGAAATAAAGATTTGAGTAAACTAAATGGAGGATGACCTAAGCGCTTATGATGAAGCCAAATCAAAGAATCAGCAGTTGATTGACCATGAGACATCAAGATGTGATCTGTTACTTTATTTGCAGGAGATTGTGACACCAGATAGTACAGCCCACCTTGCTCTTTAGCACTACCAATCGTCTTCCCCGTGGCGAGATCCTGAAAAACACAATGGGTAGGATAGAAGGTTACAGTACAATTCAAATCTTTTGTAATTTTATGAATAGAAAGAAGATTCGTGGAGAGTTTAGGAACATGAAGAACATCCTTAAGATGTAAGGACTGCTGTAAGTTTATGTCACCAGAACCCGCAACTGATGTATGAGAGCCATCAGCTACGGCTATTGTATGAGTTCCAATGGTAGGATGATAAGAAGTAAAGGAGTCAGCACAACAAGCCATATGATCAGTAGCACCAGAATCAACAACCCAAGAATGTTTAAAATCATTACATGAAGAAAAGAAAGAATAAGTTTTGGAGCTCATACCAGTCATAGTCAAAGCACTAGTATCAGATGGCATACTCATAGAATCAAGAATGGTTCGGAGCCGTTCCAACTCATCTGGACGAAATGCAGGTTGGGTCTTATTAGGTGCAGGAGTTATTTCAGAGGAAGTAAAATGCGCTTGACCACGCAACCTTGCCATCTTTTCTAAGACATATTGCTTTCCATGGAGGCGAAAACATAGATCTTTGATATAACCTGTTCTTTTACAATAAGAACACCATCGATCATCTCTTCTAGAAGATGCACCATCAGAAAACTTGGTAAATGAACTCCTTTGAGAAGAGGCCATACTGCACAAAACTTGTCAAAGAATAGCACCAAGTATCCAAAAAATACGGAACAAATACCAAACGACGTCCGATCTGAGAAAAAATCACAGATCCAGGAAGAGGATGAAGAGACGATCAGAACTCTGTTGACCGGAGCTGGAAAGAAACAGTCACGCGCCGATGGAGGTGTCTGCGAGTGGGCCCCACTCGCCGGGAGTGTGGCAGCGCGTGGGAGCGCGTGCGGCGGCCGCCGGAGCTGGGATTTTCACCGTGAGGTCGTCCGGAGGTGGCGGTCCCTTCTGTGGCTGAGCGGAGTCCAAAAGGTCACCAGAAAGTACTGTTCCAGTGATGAACAGTAGTGGGTTTGAGTCGTTCTTAAGAGATCCGGCCGTCAATTGATTGTAAAAGGTCCACAAACTGATAGATCAGAGAAAAAAGGTTTGAAAACAGGTCCTCTCGGTCCAAAAAAGGTCCCCGGAAAAAATTTCCGGTGGCGGCTGATTGGCGGCGAGAGGAGGAAAGGAGAAACGGTAATTGCGGAAGCAGAGCCCTCAGGATCGAGAGCTCTGATACCAACTTGAAAGAAAAGGGTATTTGAAATATTATTGAATTGTATAAATAATCTGTACAAAGAGATCTCTATTTATAGAGAATGAAAACCCTAATACTTGACCTAATGGGCTTGGCCCAATACAACAAATACTAATAATAATAAAATAACAAATATTTACAACAGTTATGCTATAAGAATCATTTTGTGTTTTTGGATCATTGTGTGCATTGAAAGAAGTGAAATTATATCCTATTGAGCGATGATCCAAAATTTGCAGAGTGTATGAAGCAGTTAGAGCCTATTGGTTATCTATTATTTGTTAGTTATCACTGTTTATAATTTTGATACTTGGTTATCAAAACTAATTTTCCTTTTTAGATAGATAAGTGGCTCAACACATATGTTCATTATGTAATTATTTTTTTACATGCATATATATAATTTTGTATCTGGACCTTAAGTAGTAGAAAGTAGAAACTTTACGTTTCATGTCATTTCTACGTTTTATGTTTCTAACACCCCTTTTCCTTTCTACATAGAAACTCAAAGTTTGACAAGATTGGTCATCATACTACTAGTCTAAGTAAATTGGATATCAATGATTTGTTTTTCTTTTTTTGTTTTTTTTTGTTTTAATATATAAATAGAACTATTTTGGAACTATAAAAAGAACTATTTTGGAAAATTAATTTGATTGGGATAAATTAAATTGATTTCAAAATAGATTTAATTTTTGAATTAGTCTAAAAAAAAGTTGGATTCTTCACTGGTTTTGATAAATGTGGTTCGATTCGTTTTGCTTCATAATTTGATCCGGTTCATTTGATTTTTTCACATTCTTAAAAGTGAATACGATTAATACAATTTTTAAAGCAGTTCAAAATAATATAATTCATTTGAAAAATTGATTTAATTTTTTGAACATCCCTAAATAAAGAGCTCAATTTTCATATACTAGGAGTACTTATTTCTTTGTTAAAAAAGAAAGAAAAATATAAAATATAGATAAAAATAACTTTAAAAATGAAAATAGTATAAAAATATTATTTTTTTACCATATATAATAAGAGATACGTTATACTTATATACCACTATTTTAGGTTTACCACCCTTACTGCTTGATTGATTATTGTTTGATCAATTTTAAGTCAACAATAATTTTCTTTTTCCAATCGTTGATTTCAATTTGATCCAACAATAACCAATAAAATGGTAAGCCTAAAATAGGGATAAATATAACCGCCCCCCATATACAAAAGGGAATAAAATATTTAATGTTACTTTAAAAAAATTTGTCTAATATTCAACGAAACAACGTTATTTTGGTTGAAAAGTTAAGAAATTAGAATGATAAAAACTACTATAACCTTGAAATAAATTAAAGTTCTACACATCATGATTTCAATCCCAAAAACAATATGGTTTTGGTCAACATTAATTAGAAAAAGAAAAACGAATCCTACAACAAATGATGTATCGAGCATTGGCCCAAGATGAACACCGAAATATTTTCCTATTAAGACATGAGCACATGGGAAGAAGAATCCAGTGGGCCACACCCCAACAACTGTTTGATATTCCTTCCACGGTTCCACCCAATGCGCAGGCTTCCAAACTTTGCAATTCATCGAAGATTACCTGCTTCAGGCCCATTTAAAGCCCAATAAAATCAGGCCCATTTCAAAAGGTGATTTAGTGGATGACTACAGACTAGAGTTAGGCTTCCGCCAATTAAAAAAGAAAAAAAGAGAGGCTTTGACAGTATTCTTTAAAATAAGACCAACATCATCGTCGACATCCATATCGCATTCCATGCCATTACAGCACAGCACACTTATCAATTATCATTTCATTGTTTCGATTGTACCAAACTACCCTCAACAACGTTGCCCATGCCTTAAAATAACACCAAAACAGTGTCAGTGTCTTGCATTCCAAACCAGGCCATGGCTTCCGTGATGTTGTTCCGCAGAAAGCTTAGCAATTGCAGCAACTTTCTCTTGCACTCGCACGTGCACTTGCGCGTGCGAGGCTTCTCGGAGGGGAAGAAACAGCGCATAGAGAAGATTCTAATAGCGAACAGAGGGGAAATAGCTTGCAGGATCACAAGGACAGCAAGGAGGCTCGGGATTCGAACCGTCGCCGTTTACAGCGACGCCGACAAGGATTCTCTGCACGTGACCTCAGCTGATGAAGCTATACGAATCGGTCCACCACAACCTCGACTCAGTTACTTGAATGCACCTTCCATCGTTGATGCTGCAATACGTTCCGGTGCGCAGGTCAACTCTATTATACTTCTTCTCTTCCTTTTTCATTTTCAACTTAAAAAACTAAAAAAAGGGGTTCTTTTTTAAAGGATGATGTGTTTTGGTTATTAGGCTATCCACCCTGGATATGGATTCCTCTCTGAAAGTGCTGAATTTGCTCAGCTTTGTGAAGATAAGGGTCTTACGTTTATTGGTCCTCCAGCTTCTGCTATTCGAGATATGGGTGACAAAAGGTAGGTATGGTATGCTACACTTTCATTTCTTGCATTTTGTTAATGTTTATAAAGCGTGTATTCAGCTGATCAAATTTTTTGTTGTTGTGAATATATCAGTGCTTCGAAGAGAATAATGGGGGCTGCTGGGGTGCCCCTTGTGCCTGGATATCATGGAAGTGAACAAAATATTGATAGAATGAAGTTGGAAGCGGATAAAATTGGGTATCCTATCCTAATCAAGCCAACCCATGGAGGCGGTGGAAAGGTGCTTTGAACCTTGATATTTATTCTCATACAAGTTATTCCATAGGGGTGTGGTACTTTTCTTTCTTTTCTAGTCAATTTATTTACTCTCTGTGCTGGATGATAATTAATTGTGAATGTGTTTGGCCAATTTTGTGAAATGTGTTGCCTTATGCATTTAGTCCGATTCAATGTGGGTTTTCGCGGGTGTCTATGCTTCTCAAATTGATTGTGATGGTTTTAGGTTGCTGATATCATGTTGTAATTATGATACTGTGAACCTTAGTCGTCTCATTCTCTTTGATAAGTGATCAATAATGCATATCGTTATTATAATGTGTAATAACTCTTTTTAGGTTTCTACATGTTTAGGAGTTGAAAATTTATACTAAGAATTACAGTTCTTTATGGTGAAAACGGATGAGAAAGAGATTATAAAAGATAGTCTTTGTTGCTCATGAGCTTACAATTTCATTCTGTTGAAATTTGGACTGTGTGAATATTGTAGGGTATGAGGATTGTACACACTCCAGATGAATTTGTTGAATCGTTCCTAGCAGCACAGCGCGAGGCAGCTGCTTCTTTTGGTGTCGACACGATATTGCTGGAGAAGTATATTACACGGCCAAGGCACATTGAAGTCCAAGTATTCAAATTGATTTTATCATTCCTGCTGTCATATTTCTCCTGGAAGTTTCATTGGTTGCTTACTTTTCTTCTGAAAAATTTAAAGTGCCTCATAGGGGATATTCTTTAGTCCTGATATTATGTTTTCACTTCTTCATATTTTTAATGGAACAACGGGATTAAAATAATGGGCAACAACAAAAAATGTTCATGTCTTTTTGACTTGAGTTTGTTACAGATTCTTTTCTGTTTGACATCGTAGATATTTGGGGACAAGCATGGTAATGTTCTGCATTTGTATGAGAGAGATTGCAGTGTGCAGAGAAGACACCAAAAAATAATTGAAGAAGCTCCAGCTGTAAGGCTTACATTGCATGTCCTTAATATATATATATATATATATATATACACACACATAAATTTCGCTGGAGTTGTGAACCTGTGCTAATACATTTGCAGCCAAATATTTCTACTGATTTTCGTGCGCACTTGGGCCAAGCTGCTGTATCTGCAGCAAAGGTGAGGTCCTTTTATTTCAAAATGCTAAACTGTACTATCTTAGCCACTTGCAATAGCTTCATCAAGCTTTTGACGGATCTGAAGTCATTTGTTCATTGACTTCTGCTAAGGAATGAAGACCTTCAGATAACTTGTATTCGGGATTGGACTTATTTTGAATTTTATCAATTTTTTTCTTTTCCTCCAAAAAGGTATCAATATTTGCTTTCTAGTAATATCTAATGTCAATGTCAGCGAAATTATATTAATTATACAAATTATGTTGCCTAGTTAATTAAAGTAGCATTAAAATGTGATGTTGTTTAACCATGTTCACTTGCTGGCAAAATCCCATGCCAACACTTTGCTGAATCGTTGTTTTTCTGGATATAGCATGGTTGTTTCTCTACCTTCTTTTTAAATGAAGTGCTGTGTCTTATCTTATCCACCTGGTGGGAGAAGGCTTTTGTTGTTGTTGTGTCTTCTCTTGGCAATATTTGAATTTGTGCATTTTAAAACTGTAGATCACTTGAAAGGTTATCAAGGAAAAATAAGAAAGCTATTTGGTGTCAAGCAATCTGTTGAGAGAGAGAAGATCATAGTGTTGATCTTTTATGAGAAAAACAAACATCAGAAACTGTAAAGAACCAATTGTTGGGTGAGGCTACATTAATGGTTTTATATATTTCAACAGAAACGATATTGTGCAACAGTTTATTTTTTATTCTGACTAATGAACTTGTTTTAAATACAAAACTGAGCTCATGCGGTTGCCACTAACCAGCTGATTTTGTTGGTCCACAAAATCAGCAACAAACTAACAAAGCAATAACAGTAAAATGCAGTAAACAAACTCCTAAACAAAAGACTAATCAATTTAAAAAACAACTAATTAACTCCTAAAAACAGGACATCAACAGCAGCCTTGAAACACCAACATTCTCCTCCTGGATCAAGTGTTGCACACTCCTAGCTTCTTCTCCCTGAGAAATTCAAATCGACTAACATGAAATGACTTGGTGAATATATTTGCAATTTGGTTTTCTGAATTGCAGTACAATTAGCTTCACTTCTCCAGCCTTCTGCACTTCTCTCAAAAAATAATACTTGATCTTAAAATGCTTTGTTCTTCCATGAAATACTGGATTCTGTGAAATAGCTAGAGCAGCTTGATTATCCACAAATACTTCTATGCCTTCTTTTTGCTCCAAATGCAGGTTATCCATCAGTTTCTTCAACCATAATGCTTGGTTTACAGCTGCAGTAGCTACAATGAACTCAGCTTCTGCAGTTGATTGGGCCACTATTTCCTGCTTCTTTGAACACCAAGAAAAACAAGCTGACCCAAATGTAAAACAATAACCCGAAGTACTTTTCATATCATCCACTGATCCAGCCCAGTCACTGTCAGAATACCCTTGCAACTTAAACTTCTGAATTCTGCAAAATTTGATTCCATATGAAAGAGTACCTTTCAAGTACCTTAACACCCTTTTTGCAGCTACCATATGCAGTTCACTTGGACAATTAAGAAACCTAGACAAGACACTTACGGTAAACATAATGGCTGGCCTAGTTGCAGGGAGACACATAAGGCAGCCAATTAAACTCCTATAAACTCTTTCATCTGCAGATTCCGATTCATCTTTCTTTTGAAACTTTTCCTTTTGACCCATTGGAATACTTACACTCTTGCACTCCTCCATGTTGAATCTTTTCAGAATCTCCTTCAAGTACTTATTTTGATAGATAAAAATTTCATTTTCAGTTTGTCTAACCTCCATCCCCAAAAAATATGACATCTCACCAAGATCAGTCATTTCAAACGTTTTCATCATTTCCCTTTTGAATGCAGTAATCTGAGAATTATTACTCCCTGTTACCAGCATATCATCCACGTAAAGAGACACCACCACTAAGTCAGATGCTAACTTCTTGACATATAAAGTGGATTCACTAAGACTTTTTATGAAACCCAATCCCAGCAAGTGCTCATCCATCTTGCTGTATCATGCTCTAGGAGCTTGCTTCAAACCATAGAGAGCTTTTCTCAGCAAATAAACCTTCTCCTCCTGATCTGGTGTGACAAAGCCTTCTGGCTGCTCAACATAAATCTCCTCTTGCAACTCTCCATTCAAAAAAGCAGATTTCACATCTAACTTGCCAAGGCAAGAATCATTCTAATTGTATCTAGTCTTGCAACCGGAGCAAAGGTTTCTGAGAAATCAACTCCCCAAACCTGTGCATATCCCTTCACCACTAACCTGGCTTTATGCTTATTCACTGAGCCATCAGGATTGAGTTTGGTCCTGAAAACCCATTTTACTCCAATCACTTTCCTGTCCTCAGGTCTTTCTATTAGCTCCCATGTCTGATTTTTTTCTATCATAGCCAACTCTTCCTTCATAGCATTCATCCACCTCTGATCACTTTTAGCTTCCTCATAACTTGAAGGTTCCAAAACAGCCACACTACACCTCTGATATATATCAGTCAGAGATCTGGTACCTCTAATTGGATCATCATCTACTAGCTCATCATAATCCAGTGAGACCTCCTTATGCTTTGCTTGTGGCTCATCTGTCCAGTCCCACTGCTCATCTTCTAGGAACTGAACATCCCTGCTATTGATCACCTTCTTTGTCTGTGGTTGATAGATCTTGTAGGCTTTTGACGCCAGACTATAGCCAATGAAAATTCCAGGTTCAACTTTTTCTCCCAGCTTGTCTCTCTTGACCTGTGGAATGTGAGAAAAACACAGACAACCAAACACTTTCAAATTTTTTAGAAATGGCTTGAAACCAAACCAAGCTTTGAAAGGTGTCTTCTTTTCCAGTACCCTTGTATACAGTCTATTTAACAAAAAAACAGTTGTGTTTGCTGCTTCTGCCCAAAATTCTTTTGGTAGATTCTTCTCATGCAGCAGACACCTAGTCATTGCCATAATGGTTCTATTCTTTCTTTCAATAACTCCATTTTGCTGTGGAGAATAAGGAACGGTAAGTTGATGCTCAATTCCAGCTTCCTCACAGAAAATGTTAAACCTTTGTGAAGTGTATTCTGTTCCATTATCAGATCTGATGACTTGAATTTTGCAGCCACTTTGAGTCTCAACCCATCTCTTAAACTTCAGAAATATCTCAGCAACTTCTGACTTTTGCTTCATAAAATAAATCCAGCACATTCTAGTATAATCATCAATGAAGATAAGAAAATACTTGCTGCCATTTAGTGAAGGAGTCACGTGAGGACCACAAAGATCTGTATGAATTAGTTGTAGCTTCTTTGTAGCTCTCCAGGTGGATTCTTTGAAAGGAAGTCTTGTCTGTTTGCCCAAAAAACAAGCTTTGCACCTTGTGATCTGCTCCTCCAGGATTGGTAACCCAGTTGCCATTTCATTCTTCTGCATGAATAGTAAGCCTTTGTAATGAAAATGCCCCAGCCTTTTGTGCCATATTTCTGAATCACTAGCCTGACACTTGAATGCCGCTTGCTCCTTCTCAAGGGGATTTAGAGAAAAACTCTTCTGTTGCATCTTTATTCTGAACAGCTCCTGACCATTTGAGTCAAAGATCAAACACTTCCCTTCTTCAAATATCACTTTAAATCCCTTTTCTACCAACTGCCCCACACTCAGCAAATTCTGATCAATATCAAGCACGTACATCACACCTGAAACCAGCTTAGTTCCAACATAGCTCTCTATTGCTACAGTCCCTTTACCTTTCACTTCTAGATACTCTCCATTTCCAATTCTCACTCTTGACTGCAATGACTTGTCAAGGTCTCTAAATAGCTTTTCATCACTTGTCATGTGGTTTGTGCAACCACTATCAACAAGCCAACTATCACATGGAGCACTAGAGGAGAAACAAGAGGTAGCAAATAATTGATCTGCCTCATGCTGGTCTGTAACATGTGCCTCACCTTGCTGTTGATCTCCCTTTTCTTTGCAGAACCTTTCAATGTGTCCAAGCCTATGACACTTTCTGCACTTTACATCTGGCCTCTTCCAACATCTGAAGTGTGGGTGATTCTGCTTTCCACAATGTTTACAATAGGAATGCTCGCCCCAATTGTTCTTAGAGTTGATTGCATTGTTCTCTCCTGCAGCAGCTTCTGAACCACCTCATTTCTTCCATCTTACATCATGCTGTTCTTTAGCCTGCAAAGCTCCTTCTGTACTTCCTTCAAGCCTCGTTAACCTTCTCTGCTCTTGTGCTTGCAGAGCACTTAGCAATTCTGCCAACTTGATTTGAGACAAATCCTTGGTATTCTCTAAAGATGCAATGGTTGCTTCAAACCTTTCGGGCAAGGAGACAAGACCTTTTTGCACTAGCCTATTATCAGAGAGGTCAGTGCCTAGAGCTCTTGCTTGATTTGCAATATTTACCAACTTATCAGAATACTCCTTAATTGTTTTAGACTCCTTCATCTACTATCTCTCAAATTGTGTGATCAGATTCAGCCCCTTCATGCTTCTAATCCTCTCATCTCCTTTATACTCATCTTTGAGGAAGTCCCAAATAGTTTGAGCTGATTCACAAGCCATAATTCTGCTGAAAATGGCAAGTGAGACAGCAGCATATAAACAAGACTTTGCCTTTGCTTTTCTTGTTATCCTCTCCTTATGAAACTTGATCTGATTGATGGTTGGATTTTTCAGGAAGGGGAGCAACTTCATAATCTTGTTCTACAGCTTCCCAAAAATCGCAACCCTCTAGATAGGCTTGCATTCTCACTGCCCATGCTTGATAATTTTCTCCATCGAATATTGGTGGAGCCATTGCTGAAAAACCACTCGATCCTCCCTCCATTAATTTCTCAAGTCACTCACAGCCCCTTAAGATCAACCAGGCTCTGATACCAATGTTGATCTTTTATGAGAAAAACAAACATCAGAAACGATATTGTGCAACAGCTTATTTTTTATTCTGACTAATGAATTTGTTTTAAATACAAAACTGAGCTCATGCGGTTGCCACTAACCAGCTGATTTTGTTGGTCCACAAAATCAGCAACAAACTAACAAAACAATAACAGTAAAATGCAGTAAACAAACTCCTGAACAAAAGACTAATCAATTTAAAAAACAACTAATTAACTCCTAAAAAACAGGACATCAACAGCAGCCTTGAAACACCAACACATAGGGACTCCCTAAAATTTGTCAAATGAGTCGGCGAATATCACTGTCTTCTAGTATTGTATTCTTATTACTGTAATATTCAGTATAATAAGGAGAAGTTCAATAGTACAATAATTAATGTAACATTAAACAAAAAAAGAAACTATTCTATTTCTGCACATTTCTTCACAACGCATTCTTCTCTGAATCACAACCAACCAATGTATTGCGGTAATTTAGACTTTAGGCTTGTTTAACTCACTTAAGAACCCGAAATGAAAAATGTTAGCACCATAGCGGTATTTATTAATACTGACAAGAAAAGTTAGTAAAAATGCAGAAATATTCAGCGAATGGGGTTTACTGAATGCTTTCAGCAGTGACTTCCCCTTCTGGGTTCTACTTCCTATATTATTATTTTTATGTTAACTTTTTCCTTTAATATATGCTCATTCATTTTATTATATAACAATAGTTTATTTTCATATGCATTCAATGCTTAAAATGAGAAAATATTCAAATGTTAAAAATTCTGTGCTAAAAATTTTGGACAATGAAATTCATTGTTTGAGTTTAGCAGTAAGGGTTTTCACATATGTCTAATACATACTTAGTATTTACCTCTCAACTATTTTACTTATATAGTTATTCATTTAGAAATAATGATATGGTGTCTTTGGCAGGTTTTAAGACATTAGTTGCCTTTTCTTTTTCTGCTTTATTTTCTCGCTTGGTGTCTGATTATGTGGATTTCAATATGCTAAATTTATGGACATGTCTTCTTTCATGAATTTAATTTTAAACTGTACTCATAACTAATATTTATTGAAATATCTTTGAGAGATGGGGAGTTGTTTCCTTTCATTTATCCCATATCTTCCTGTGGGTCTAATATCTTCATTCAATTCAATATCATCCACTGATTTCATGTTTCTTTCTGATGGCTGAAGGCAGTTAATTATTACAATGCTGGTACTGTGGAGTTTATAGTTGATACTGTCTCTGGCCAGTTTTACTTTATGGAGATGAATACCCGTCTTCAGGTGCTTGGATTGATTTTTACAGTCACTTTGTCCTAGAATTAAGGCTTACAAAGTATAACATGGGGCATGTTTATACAGGTTGAGCATCCTGTCACAGAGATGATTGTTGGTCAAGATCTTGTTGAATGGCAAATCCACGTTGCCAATGGAGAAGCTCTTCCATTGAGTCAATCACAAGTACCCATATCAGGTCATTCTGCTTTTCGTGTGTCTCTCTTCTTTTTTTGGTTTAATTTCTTTGTCTCCCATCCCTTTTCCTTTTTTGAATGGGTGTGTGGAGATGAGTTTTTGGGTTGGCTTTGCTTATTTCCATATTAAATGATTTCTTAATGGATTGAAGTTGACAGTTGGATGGTTCTATGGTTGACTAAATATTTACTTCTACATTTGGTTGGTTAGTTTCTCCTGAGCCGCAAAATGGAAAATATTCTGTGACTGGTGTCTACAGGTTTAAAGATATGATTTTTTTAATTTTTAATTTTTTGTAAACTGGGTGATTGGAAGTCATATATTAGTATTTAAGCCTAAATTCCATTATATACTCTGCAAGGAGAAAAAACTCTCGCTTGTATTTATGTCTAATTGCTGGAGAAGGTCATCTTAGTGACTTCCTCAAAATTTTACCCAGTAATGATGCCAAATGAACTGGTGTTTATAAAAATAAAGAACATGTAGAAAATTGTTATAAGCCAATAGTTAATGATTTTGAGCTTGTCAATTATTTTATATTATTGCTAGAATATGTAAGAGATCCATCTGTTATGCAGAATTGCAGACACTTTAAAGTCTCTGTATATTATAATTCTGTGTTTTGATGGCAGGCCATGCTTTTGAAGCTCGAATCTATGCTGAAAATGTTCCAAAAGGATTTCTTCCAGCAACAGGAGTTCTACATCATTATCATGTTCCAGTCTCATCCGCAGGTCAGTTACACAAAATTAGCATAGTAATTTATTTGTGGTGGATCTGAAAACTTAACCACTTTCTCCAGTTGGATGAACACAAAACTTAAAGATAGATTTGTGTGCCTGTCTTTTTACTTGCTGAAATCTTCTATTTTGGCAGTCCGTGTGGAGACTGGAGTTAAAGAAGGAGATGCTGTTAGCATGCACTATGATCCAATGATTGCTAAGCTTGTGGTGTGGGGGGAAAATCGTGCTGCAGCCTTGGTCAAACTGAAGGATTGTTTGTCAAAGTTTCAGGTATGCTTAAATTTTTGTATTGCCTTTGGCCTTTGCTATAATGAACTGTTAAGTTATCATATCATGATTGTGGTTGAGGCTTTTGCAGTAAATTGAACTCTTTCCGTATTTAGATGTTATGTGACTTTCAATCCTGTATTTGTTTTCTTTGGGACCAAGGGTGGACATGGTTTTTGTGTGTTTTGTGGGTGTGTTTTGGGGGTGGGTGGGGAGGGTGTGGGGTGGGGTGGGGGTTATATATAGTGTGTAGACATGTAAGAAACTGAGGCATTTTAGATCGAAAATTATTTCTCCCTGTATTCCATCTATTAGAAATCTTGCTCCACATTTAAATTGCTAATATCTTCTTCCACAGGTTGCGGGTCTACCAACCAATGTCAACTTTCTTCTAAAGCTTGCTAATCACAGGGCATTTGAAAATGGCAATGTGGAGACTCACTTTATTGATAACTACAAAGAAGACCTCTTTGTTGGTGGTGTTGACAATCCAGTATCTGCCAAAGAAGCATATGAAGCTGCTAGACTTAGTGCATCCCTTGTGGCTGCTTGTCTCATTGAGAAAGAGCATTTCATATTGGCAAGAAATCTCCCTGGTAAATTGTCCCATTTTTTTTTTTGCTTAATGTTGAGTTGTTTTTATAAATCTCCTTGGTATTTACATTTGTTACTGTGTTCAGCGGGCAGCAACTTACTCCCTATATGGTATGCTTCTCCACCATTTAGGCTCCATCATCAAGCTAAGCGTAGAATAGAACTTGAGTGGGATAATGAATATAGTAGTGGTAGCTCAAAGATATTGAAGCTTACCATCACTTATCAGCCTGACGGGAGATACCTGATTGAGGTAACATCTTAGTATACCATATGAAATAGTTGTTGTTATTATTATTATTTTTTCCTGTTTTATTGTGCCACAAAATCTTTAAAGAGTTTGACTCAAGATGATATTGTATACTTCCAGACAGAAGAAAATGGATCTCCTGTTTTAGAAGCCAAAGCAACGTATGTGAAAGATCACTATTTTAGAGTTGAAGCTGACGGTGTAATCAAAGATGTTAATCTAGCAGTTTACACAAAGGTATTTGTCTTCTGCTGAGAAGATGATTTTAGAGTATTTTGTGGATTGATTTGGTGAAATATTTTGGTGCTGTATCCTTCTTGATTGTCAAATAAAATTCTTAATAAAGCTGATATAGTTTTCCTTGGGATTCAGGAGCAAGTAAGGCATATTCATATTTGGCAAGAGTCCTATCATCATTATTTCCGAGAAAAACAAGGTCTCGAGTTGTCTGAGGATGAAGAATCCCAATATAAACCCAAATTTGAAACATCAGCCAACCCTCAAGGAACTGTTGTGGCACCCATGGCAGGCTTGGTGGTCAAGGTTCTAGCGAATAACAAGACAAGAGTAGAAGAGGGACAACCTGTGTTAGTATTAGAAGCAATGAAGATGGAGGTTTGTACAATTGCTCCTTAAAATGTTGGAAACTCCTCTGTGACTTCTTTTTATCATTTATTCCGGAAGTTATAACCAACAACGTTCTGTACTTTTTCTAGCATGTTGTAAAGGCACCATCTTCTGGCTATGTTCACGGGCTTCGAGTTACAGTGGGTGAACAGGTTTCTGATGGCAGTGTCCTTTTCAATGTAAAGGTTAGTTAGTTGCCTTTTCTATTCTTCACATTGGCCATGGCCTGATTGTACTTGCAATATTATTAGTGCTTTTATATTTTCAGTACATCATTTCATTTTATGCTCTGTTTTGATGTTTACTTCTTTGTGCGGGTATAATGTATAATACTTAGGGTCTGCTTGTTTGAATAGGTAAAAATGAGAAAGATGGAAAACTGAAAATGTATTTAGATGTTAATACAATTGAAAATGACAATGTATCTTCACTTTATGTTCGAATACATCAATTTTTGGTTTTAGCTATCATTAAATGAAATTCCTCATTTGTTGGTTTACCTTATCCTATAAACACAATGGTACATCTTATAGTTTTGTGTTTGTGCAGGATCAATAAAATCATTCATGGATTATAACTTTTCGCCGTGATGGTTGAAGAGTGACGTAATCATTTGAACGTGGAATTATACGCAGATGGACAACCGACACATGGAAGTTGATTACTTGTTGAACAATCTTTGTAACCCAAATCATCATGTTACAGAGGATGAAATGTACTTTACAATAATGCAAGTAGTTCTTCCAATCATTAATAACAAAGCTAGGAATTGCTTCATTTTTAGATATTCTTCCGATAGATCTCTAAATCTTCTTTTTCTTCTACGATAGCTTCCCTTCTAACACTTTAAATTATGTGATTGTCGGAACTATATGCTAAGTACAACTCTTGGCTTCTGACAATTAGTTAAAATTTTAGTTTTAATAAATGAAATTAAATCGCCAGTGCCTAAAACATTTAGCAAATGTTTGGATGGAGAATGGAGGGAAGGGTTGACTCTTTTCTTGGTTAAAAAAATATATAAAATACTTTTAAAAATTGAATAAAACATAACTGGAAAATTAAATAATAATTTCATGTTATTCCTTTTATTTAAAAAATTCTTAAATGAATGTTTACTTAAAATGATTGATTTTTTTTTTTTCGCTCCTGAACACCTCCTAAAAACATAGGGATAGTTATTGTACTATCACATTTTCAGAAATTATTTCCCTAATTGCCACATGTTCAAAATATTTTTTCAAATTGTCATGCGGCTAAACTCATTATAGCCTATAGCACGTTTGGTGTGCCCACGTGTCATGATGTTTAAGGCCACCAAACTCGCTGCTGGCCATAGCAAGTTTGATGGTCAAAGTGTCAGCTTGCTCCGACTTAGAGTGAGACACATGGCAAGCTCCCACCAAACATGTTGCGAGTCATAACACGTTTATTCTGCACTATCACCTTGCTTTGACTTAATGTGGGACATGTGGCGAATAGCCACAAAACGTGCTAGCGGGTATAGCATGAACAATTCAAATGGTAAAAAAAAAAAAAAAAAACTTGACTGTATGCCACATCGTATAATACATGTCGTGGGCCAGAACAACACCTTCATCCACCTCTGTGTTAGAACTGTCCATACGCCACGTCGGATTCTACATGTCGTGGGCAGGAACCATTATTGTAGACATTGGTGGGGGTGGGGGTGGGGATGGTGAGGGGGACACATACCTATTTTCAGGATTCGCCAACGGCTCCCTGTTAATGTCGATGGAATGAAAGGAAGGGAGGGATGTTGACTGCTAGAACCCAACTCTCTTTACTCGAAGCACATATAGCAGTCAATCGAGACAGATTTTGACCTTGTAATCTCAAGTTCTTGTATATTGTCTTCTTTAGATAATTATAACTGCATCGATATATGGGAGGTGCGGAGGTGGGTTTTTATATCACTAAATTCGTTGCACTATACATGCTATGCACCCTAGCAAGTTTTGTGGCTGATTGTCACGTGTCCCCTTTTACCCAGAGCAGACTGACAATGCAGACAATACGTGTTATACCCCTCCAGCACATTTTGTGGTTGCTCACCACCTATCCCACTTTAACTTAGAGCAGACTGACAATGTAGACTAAACGTGCTATGATCCGCAACACGTTTGGTGGGGGCTTGCCATGTGTCTCACTTTAAGTCTGAGTAGGCTGACACTTTAACCACCAAATTTGTTATGGCCCACAACAAGTTTGGTGGCCTTAAACATCGTGACTCGTGGACACACCAAACATGCTATGGACTTTAGTGAGTTTGGCTGCGTGACACTCTAAAGAAATATTTTGGAAGCGTGACAATTAGAGAAATAATTTTTGAACACGTGGCAGTATGATCAATGTCCCAAAAACATACCCTTAATCCATTCGAATTGGCCTTTTATATATTACGAGGCTCCCAACATGACCTTTCTCAATTCAATAAGGTTGGTGCCAGTATCACATGTACAGGGAAGGAAAAGGATCACCTAATCAAAGATTGAATTTCTTATATTATCATTGAAAAAAACACTTTTCATATTGCACGAAAAATGTTTTTTCATATTATGATCCTTCAATTTGAGTGTAATTTTTTTTTAAATAAATACAAGACCTACCATTAATTGAATCACACCATAAGAAAACAATTCTAATGCAACATAAGAAAATAAAATCCCATTAACATTACACTCAAAAATCTTAAAAATTTAATCCAATGCAAACTGAACTTGTTATGTTCAATAATTTCACTAAGGGCATGTTTGGTGCATAGTATAAGATAAGGCATGATAGTATAAGACTTGATAGTATAAGACCTGATTATATAAGACCTGATTGAATTTTAATACTATCTAGCATTTGGCACGGTATTGTATAAAATAATATATTGTATAAGATAATATCATTTAATATTTGGTAATACACTATATAATACTATATATGATAAAAATAAATATTTTTAATAAAAATACCCTTTAATAAAGAATTTATTTAATTATTCAAAAAATGACATATGATATTAATTTTTATAAAAATTTATTGATCAGTGTGTCCAAAATATAAATTAATTTTTATAAAAATAAAAATATTCAATATTTTAAAAAATAAAAAAATTGAAAAATTAATTTTTATTTTAATGGATTAATATTAAAATAATATATTAATTTTTGAGAATTACATTGGTTAACGATGTTAATACATCAATCTCTTATCAGACTTTATCCCTCACCCTTAGGCCGGATTAAGTTATATATCATTTTGATGTATTAAGAGATTATGTTGTATAAGCTTATACTATACGATGGTCACACAAAACAACTGAAAATGTCATAACGTATAGTATAAGCTTATACTATCATGCCTTATACGTCACATCAAACAGGCCTTAAAGCCCCTGATTTGACAGATTCAGCTTTTTTTCCGAGAATAAAACTGCATCTTATTAATTATAAGTCAAGATATTTTTATACTCTTACTCATTAATCTACTTGTATTCAATGATTCACATTAAAAATTTAAAACCCATTATATTTAAATGGAATCAATAACAAAAATTGAAAATATAACTTATACCGATATAAAATAATACTGACCCATTAATTATAATTATCTACTACTCACAGTAAAAGTGTAATAAATTTTGGATGAATTTGTTATTCTCCTCATATTATAACTCCGTAGTTTATATTTTTTTTTTATAGTAAATTGAAAAAAATGTATTGTTCGAAAAGAATCTCAACCAAATAAATTAAGCATGAGAAATAATTCCTCCAAAAACGTTTTAATTTCACTTTTGTAACAAAAAAAAAAAGGCTTAATAATTAACCTCAATCATTTATCAACTAAAATAGTTCCTAATTGTCGAATCTCCCTAGTACCACCTTTGGGAGGAGTTTAAAGCCTTAATCTTGGATCCGCCCCGAATCGGATTAGTTGCGAAGCAATAAACCGAATTGGAATATTTCCAAAAAAAAAAATAGTTCCTAATTGTCTTGAGATCATAGAAGATTATCCCTAATTCATTTCTTTCAAATTTTAAGTCACAACAAACCACCATTACAATCAAATTCTTCTCAGTACAAGAAAATCACAAGAGATAGTACCTTTCTACAATATGAAGGGGATTCTAGCAATCCCATATCAACCATCAAAACCAGAATAGACTCCACTGTCCCTTAACAACCTCTTCTCTTCTTCAACATAATTTTTCCCCCTGCTTGCCTGACCAAGCTCTCTTTTCCTCTTTTCCTTCTGAGAGAAGGAAAGATTCTTCTTCTCATTCCTAGTCTGAGCAGTTGGCAGCTGCTCTCCTAGGGAAATAGCATCTCTTGTTTTCTGTCGCTGCTCATATGATTCTTCAGTTTCCTTGTCTACACGCTTTTCCTGTCCAGTGGACCACGACCAATCTTGCTTCGTCTCATCCCCTTCTTTGGGTGGGGGTACCTTTAAGACCGAAGGTCCACCTTTATATCCATGTCGCTTCAGTGCTTCAAAGTCAATTACAGCACTTTTCGGCTTTCTAGATTTACCTGTAGACATAAAGTTTATAAAACTAGTAATGAAAGATCATACAGAAACAAAATTAGTGAGAAAATTCTAAGGATGTCAAATTTTAAAAGCAACAGAGAATGAAGATATCATAATATAGATTTCTGAAACAAGCAACCTTCACGAACAAACACTACGTCATTACATTGTGAATGGAGGTTTAAAAATCCTGATAATCTCATTTCCGTTTGCTGGGAAATATCTATTCTAGATGCTAAATAAACTCTTACAAGAAATTTCGTGAAGACGAAAAGTAAAATTAGCATAATTAATTGTATCCTCAAATTAGTCAATCCTTTTTATGCATGTTTATAAATTAGAATCACCTCTAATTTAGGATATAATTAAGTAACACATCCTCCAAAGGACTTTGCTTATAAGTAACTGTATAGCGATCAGGAACTATCTTGCAGTAACTCAAGCTGAGAATGGGTTTAATCCTGAACTAACTGAATCTACATCAATAATCACTATCCACCATAACAAGGAGAAACAAACAATCTCTTCTACAATTGGGCATTATTATCTCTCAATTATCTTTTTGCTTTAGCCAGAACACTTCTATTCTATCAGATGCCAACCACGAAATGATCTTTGGGTTATTGCTACATAATTAGAGTGGTTCATCAGTGTGATTTTAATTTTAACAAGGGATGATTTAACTCGCCCTTAGTTGAAGTCCGACTTAACCTTCTCTCTATATATGTTCAGAAATATTCATATAAACACCCAAAGGAAACTACCTATATCAAAGTTTCATAGCTAGGATGAGCGTCAATCCACATTCTAGGCATGAAGAAAACATCTGAAATAACACGAGATATAATCTGGATGCTCTCTTTGTTGAGATACTTGTCAAATAGACCCACAGCACAAAACACAAAATGTTGGACATAATTACAATAAGCACCTGACCATAATTACAATCAGAAAATTGTTTCACTTTGGCATTCAATCAGACTTCAGCATATATTTCTCCAAGTTATGAAAACAATTAGATAAAGAAAGGGGTTGTACATCAAATACCTTTGGATTTTTTCCCACCAGTTTCATTATCATGTTCAGAGTCAGAATGCAAAGATGATGACACATCTGGTGATGAGTGGTCGTCATCATCATCATCATCATCATCACTCCATGGCAATGTCCTTTTCATGATATGAACAAAAACCCTGCAAAGATACAAACGATGCCATCAGAATGTAGATTAAAACGCCAAAAGTGAGACAAACAGTTCAATCGCTATGAATACCATCATAAGGGTTCAAGTACCAATAATGCTACGCTGCAAACAAACAGTAAGTAATACAGTGAAAGATGCCATGTTCAAATATCGCTCAACAGAAAGAACAACAGTTTTAATCCGAGCAAATGAAACTGATGATATTATTTTATTTTATGTCATCAATTATTAGGAATTGAGGTTACCATCAAACACAGAAACCCATGAAATTTTCAGAAACCCTGCAAGAGCAGAGAACTAAGCTTGCGCGTGGAGTAACCACAGAGAAATAAACATTCATGAATTTTGGGGAAAAAAAATAAAGAAAGAAAGAAGAAAACATAAAGCTGGAAACAGAAAGAGAGTACCGAGAAAAGGAAGTGTGACAAAGAGAAATCGGCGAATTGGAATTGGATTCCTAATTACATTCTCTGCTCAGTAAGTGCCACTCTCAGAATCACAACCCCCAACCATAGCTTTTTAGGGATTTCTCGATTGCGAATTTAGAACCCTATAATTGTTCAAATTCGCAATTTCCTTTTCTCCAATTTGGTACATATGATTGTACAAAATGCAATATTCTCTTAAATATAAATTGAATGATGATCATACCAAGCAAAGCAAAATTACAAAGGACAAACAAATATATATATATATATATATATATATATATATATATATATGGGAAAGTACTTCTTATGTGATTGCAGAAGAAAAAAAGTGCAGCAACACAGGATACGCGTCTGTATCCTGTTTTTTTTTTTGTTTTTTTTTATAGAATCCGCACGTGTATCCTAGGATCCGCACGTGTATGCTAGTGTTAAAAATTTGCTGCAACTTTTCTCATCAGCAGTCACATGAGAAGCGACGGACCCATATATATATGGGATAAGATATCGTGACACCAAGTTATGTTACACCCATGTGACACCCAGTCAATCTCACCGTTAGATCGCTTATGTTGATCCAACGGTTATATTTATTTCCATCTTTGTATGGTCATGATTTTTCAAATTTAATATTTTATATTTATTTTTACTTTTGTATGGTTATGATTTCCCATATTTAATGCTTTCACTTTAAATTTGGGAAATCATGACCATACAAAGATGGAAATAAATATAACCGTTGGATCAACATAAGCGATCTAACGGTGAGATTGACTGGGTGTCACATGGGTGTAACATAACTTGGGTGTCACAATATCTTATCCCTATATATATATATATAGGGTCAGGATCATTTTACACCCGTGTAAGTTATACTCTTAATCTTGTTCTTTGATCCCATTTATATCTAAGGGCTCTATTTTTTTAGTAATGTGAGTCATTGAATACAAGTGGATCAATGGTTAAGATTGAGTGTAAGACTTCTAAATCTTACATCGGTGTAAGAATACCTGCCATATATATATATATATATATATATATATATATATATATATATATATATATATATATATATATATATAGGCTCTAATAGCTCTCATGTCGCTGCAGATCAGAAAATTTGCAGCAACACTTACTTTCACCAGGATTTGGTTCCGTATCTTGTAATTTTTATTTTTTTTTAATTTTAGGATCCGACTTCGTATCTTATGTAAATATATTTGCTGCAAGTTTTTCCATTAGCAGTGACACCAGAAATGAGGAAGCCATATATATATATATATATATATATGGGGAAGAATATACTTTTCACAAAAAAATTGAAAGTGTATCTTATACTGATGTAAAATGATACTGACCATATATATATATATATATATATATATATATATATATATATATATATATATATATATATATATATATATATACAAGTGAAAAAATAATATTGACACCTGCAAATAATGCGATTAACTCTTACTTACATCATTATTCCTTTTAAGCATAAACTGATCAATTCAATCAATGTATAAGTTTAAAAGTTAAAATGAACATGTGGATTTTCGTTATATTGTAATTTTTTAATTTTAATTTTATCCAAGAATATGTTAGTTTTAAAGTTTGAAATATTTAAAAAAAGCAACCCCAATTTAAATTTAATGGCTTCTTTTATATGCGATGAAATAATAAAATATTAGCTATTTTAAATTAGGCTTTAATATTTCTACAGATAATGCAAATAATTATTCATATTCACTTTCAAAATGACGTCGTTCTAGGTTAAAAGATTAAAAAATTATAATGATAAAAATTATTATAACTTTGAAATAAATTTAATTAAAAAATACTTTAATTTTCACCCTAAAATGACATCATTTTAGACTCAACGAAGATAACTTATCTATATTCACTGTAGAAAAAACTAACCCTTTAAATTGACATATATTTTTTTTACCCACTTTGTTTAACTTATAAATTATACATGTTAGATCAGTTTATTTAGCAACATTAAAAAATCTATCCTTTTGAATAAGGTCGACAAAACGGACTCAGTTCGATAGGACGAGTTGAGTTTTTCAACCCACTTCTAAAAGTGGGCCAGGATAGAACGAATTAGTGTAAAAAAAATTCGCGCCGATAAGATAGGCCAAATTTTTTTACCCACTCTAAAAAATAAAACAAGACAAACTAACTCGTTTTTTAACTTATTAATAGCAGTACGGGACGGAGTGCACCGTAACTTTGCAACCTCTACTTTTGATGATGAAGTGCATTTATCCTGATCACATAAGTCACTAAAGCAGTGATAGTAACCCTTTCGATTTTAGTAAAATATTTGCTTCGAATTGCAATTTTGATTTTGTATCTAAACTTTTAAAATGATATGATATATTTTTGTTATATATATATATGAAAATGTTATTACACACTCTCATATGTCGTATTTTTAAACAAATACTCCTACCAGACTAAGCTCTAAATCCATTCATAATGACTTTAAATGATGAAAAATTAATATTAAAATTTTCTATTTTGTGGACAAATTTTTTAAATGAAATATGATAAAGGATTTGATAAAAAAATATAGCAAATTAAAAAAAATTCACGGATTGACTTTTTTATATAAAATATCACTTTGCACAACAAAAGTAGAAAGCTATTAATATTATATCCTAATTCTATTTCATAATTTGAGAGATGCTCAACATCTGGTGTTACCCAAAATTAAAGTTCAAGGTGAAAAAAAAAATGTTTGATATACTTTTTAAGTCACTTACACTTTGAGTTGATTTGGTGGTACCACTAAATATACTATATGGAGACTGAATTATCCGACTTAATAAAACACACCTCTCTTATCTTTTTAAGCTCTAACTTTGAATGTAGAACCCAGCTAGTTAAGAAACAAGATGAGAGAAGGGGAAAGAAGGAGAGAATGTAGAAGAAAACTCAAACTTTTCAATATTTCAATATTTCAATTTGAATTCTTATGTAGCCAGTCTCAAATTTGGACAAAAGGTGGGTTGAGTTGGGCAGCTAACAAGTAATGTAAAACTTTTTTAATTTTTTTTTAGTACTAAGTAGTAAGTAATATAAAATTTTGTTGAATCTTTCGTGACATTGATCAACGCTATATGGGCTTACAGAACCCTGTCAAGTTGCCTTTCGGCTTCTAAACAGTCCAAAGAGGCTAAGACAGTGAGACTTACCCAACATTGAACATCTGATTGCTATCCATTTGAATTACTAAACGTGTCCAACCAACAATTCAAAACTGTACTGATTCCTAACGTGGCTATGCTCATTATTGTACTAGGTGAACCATCTGTCATTATATGAAGCATTTAACTATTTTGTGTGCACTTGTTATATGATTGTCTATGTAAAACCTTTGCACACTGTTCTACTGTTTTAAAGCTATTAGCTGGTGTCTCAAATAATTTACTCTAGACTGGAGTCTCTAGTCTTACTGTGCAAAACTATAAAGACCTTGAGAAGGCTTAAATTAGGGAAAAATTTATATTATTTTAAAGGGATTAAATTTTCTTATGCAACATGAGATAAGATATCTCATGTTACACTTACAAATTTATATAGGTATCACTGCACAGAAAAAGAGAAAAAAGATTTTAAAGTGGGTCCCACATCTTTTTGAGTGTGTAGGAGAGATTTATTATCTCCTATCACATGAGATTAATATTTCCCTATTTTAAAAGATGTAAAGTTATGTTATTTTAAGTAAGAGAAATAGATAGATTATGAGGGAGAGAGAGTGGACAATAAAAAATAAAAATGTGGATTCTATCTCTTTGTGAAAGTGAAAGGACACAAGTTGTATCATTTAAAATGATAAATATTTTTTCTTTAAATTAAGTAATGAAACCAGTTAGATGAAAAGTCATTGGCTTTTATACTTTCTTTTTTTTTTTTACAGAAAATTTTTCAGCAACACATAAAAAATAAATATATACATATGGATTCTGACTTTTTTTTTAAAAAAAATAAATAAATTTGATGGTGCCCACTTTTTTTTTTATGTCTGCTATACTAGAAAGAATGATGAAATCACAGCAGAAGTTGGAAACCCAAATCATTGTATAGAAATAAAAGATGCTGGGAGAAACAGTGGAAGTATTTAGGAAAGGATTGACATAATCTTAATTTTGTTATCATTGGTTGTTTCGTCACCTTTTTCTTTAGGGGGCGTTTGGTTGAGGAGAAATTTTTTGAATATTAGGGAAAAAGAATTGATAGGGAAATGGTAAGAAAGTAAGATAAAGTGAGATAGATAGGAAAATGTTAAAAAAAGTAGTTTGGTGGAGAAAAGCTTTACTAAAAAAATTAGGTAACTTTTAAGAAATGTATGTTTGGTTGGAGGTAATATATAGTAAAAAATTTGAGTGAACGGTGAGATTACCAGCTTTTTAACAAAAAACCATCTCCGAAAAAGCTTTCCATACAGTATATAAAGCTGTCTTTCGGTTCCAAAATTTAAAAACCAATGCATCTTAGATGAATGGGTTTCTGAGTAAATCACCCTTCACCAAACACGACATTTCAAGAAGCCTCAGCACATTTGCATAGAAAAGTTGTAAAAAGCCTCAAGCCAAACACCACCTTAAGGAATTGGAAAATCAATGACACGGTTGTTGAAAATTCACAATTACACAAATCGAAAAACAAAATAGAAAGGAAAAAAGATTTGACAGATTAATTTATTTTGGTTTATCTAATAGATGTTATGTCTAGCTTGTCTGTATTATATTTATTTCATCACCACTCGTTACAAGTAATTTGATTTACAAGAGAATATAAAAAGGATTTAGAAAACCCTAATAATAACTATTTATGAGCCTAAGCCCAAACTACTAAGAAAAAAAAATTACAATAAGTCAACTTCAATTACTTTTCTGTTGACCCTGCCAATATGAACCCTCATCAGTATACTAAGTATGACTCATACCCAACAACAGTTAGAGGTGGTTTTCCATCATATACAGCCACATCATATGCTTTAGGGAACACATCTTGTTGTGCTTATTAAGATTTAAAGCCTGTTTGATACCTCTTTTTTTAAGTTTAAAGTTACTTTTAAATTAAAAATCACTCCTCATTAAACTCGATTAGCGAGTGCCACTTGCCTGTGCGAAGAAAGAAATTTCACTAGAAAGAAAGTGGGGACAG